TCCCCCCCGTATTTCGCAAGTATTGTAAGTGAAGAAACCATTAACTCAACGACCTATTTGTCATCGTAGCAAAAGTGCAAACATCGCATCGATAATATTGCTAAGTCGTCATTTCTATCTTTGTCAATAATTTTTTATCGAATTGCAAAACTTTTTCATAAATTTAAAGATTATATTTAACAGAATTTATTTAAAGATTATATTTAACAGAATTTATATTTAACAGAAGACGGCAATTAATTTTCGATTTTTGACGTAAGCTTCTTGAGTAATATTTAAACAATATTTTTTTATATTACGTTATCTTGTTATTTTAAAAATTTGATTCATAAAAATTTCGTTACTTGTAGAAATGGCAAAAAAGCGACATTTAAAAAGAAAAAAATTGTATTTTAAATTACTAAAATCAATTTTTTGAATGCACGTATATTTATCATTTATTTATTTATTTTTTATTAATACCAAATATTAATTCCAATACGTAACATAAAACATATAAAATAAACATCTTAATTACACAAGTTTTTGCAATTTCCATTGACGACAATTATACAAATTAAAGGCCACGATACTTCCGTTTAATTTTCATAAGTGCTTCATCATTTTGTAATCGAGAATCAGAGAATTGACGCACAACCAACAAAAAATCCTTCGAGAGTGTAAAAAATTCGAAACATATATTTGATGCGCTTTTTTAACGTGATCAACGTTGCCATCTTTAATAATTAATATTATACATGATAAAAAACTTTTTATCATATATAATATTAAGAAAACAAAAACATAGAAATAAAGCTTCTTATAAAATGCCGAAATGTTACATAAAATTCTAAATTGCTCACAGTTAAACGCGCTAATAAAAACAATTTGGAAAACACGTCTCCTAAGATGTTTATTAAAGTATATAAAATACGCTATTAATTAATTTTCGATTATTTCTTTTCGAGAATTTTTTATGCATTATTGAATCTCAATTATTTCGTTATATCATTATAAATTCACCTATATATGACTAAAAAGTCAACCTCATCTGCGAAATCAATCCTTCAATAAAAATTCACATCCGCCTTTCTCTTTTTCTCGTCTTTTATATCCATTGAATGTAATTTTTTGAATCCGTCAAATCCGTGATTCCGTGATTTTTTGTATTATAAATAGGCACGTCCGCGCTAATGATAATATTTTGATACTGACGAATAATTTCCTCATATAATGCACGTTGTAATTGTAAGTATATAGAATTTTGTTGTCAAAAAGTGCAAATAATAATATCTCAGTAAACGTGACATATTTTCATCCTCATTTTATTCATCATTCAAAAATTATGTATAATAATCACACGTGTTGAAGAATAATATTTCATTAAATATTTTAAATTCCAAAGGCAAATTTACATTCCAACAGAGCCGAATGCTTGCAAGTAATTCAATCATATCTCAACTCACGTACACATATATTTGCAGCTGCATTATATGTCGCAGATTATGCGCACTTCCTCTATAGATTTTTCAACGAATGAAGGTTTTATTTGTTTTGTTAAGCAGAATATGTAACACTAATGACATTTTAATGAGTTTTCCAAATATATTTAAAAATCTAAAACTCTATACGAATTAACTTCTTAATTAAATTATTTTTCTCTTTCTCTTTAATTGTTGTACAAACTTATTAGCCTATTTCTATAATATAATTTTATGCAAATACTTTAAACTGTAAGGGCTAACTCGTCACATACAATAAGGCGCAAAAACATTGGGCGCAAAATATATCTGTTTCTCTACTCAGTTCAAGACGTTAAATTCTAATGACGCAAACAGATAAAAAGAAATTTTAATGCTCATCTATTATTCAATGCTGAAAGCGACGTATCATTGCAAATTGCATGTAAAAATAAATATTTATTTGCCCAATTGCCTAATTGCGTCAATTGTGTCTGATCCGTATATGACTATAATGACACAGTATGCCGGTTCAATACATTACGCACGCATTATTAATTCGATGACGCAGGTTTAATCTTTCACACCTTTGTTTAACCAGGATGGTCACGTTGACCATACTTACTACTTTAAGATGGCTCCATCGGATCAGATCGAAAAAATTGGCCTTGCCGCAGATTCTCGTTCCGTCACGTCCTCTGAATGCCGTCAAAAAAATTGGCGAACGTCATGCGCCGCATGATTATCGAGTGACTAAAAAGACACGTGTCTTTCTCAAATTGTGTATTCATTAAAAAATCTCGGCGAATCCGATCGCATGCAAACGCACAATATCTCGATAATCAACATAAATAAATGTTTTACTTTTACGAGAGCCGATGATAATTACAATCCAAACTTCCTATATTTTCACAGCTATGTTAGTGGAGAGATGTGAACTTTTCTAAGGCAATATATACTAAAATATTCAAAGTTCCCGTAATAAAAGTTTTTGAAATTTAATCTTTTTCTCGAAAGCTTATTAAAAACAAATAAAACGTCGATCCTGTTTAATTGCAAACGCATTCATTAAACATGCTATTACGTGAATGCATAGTTTCTCCTGCTCTGTTATGTCACGTATCGTTAATGCTTCATCACCAATATGCGAAAGATCCGAAAGTCTCGTCATGCACCAAGCTTACAATTAGACGTACAGGATTTTGGTTTTAGACTCGCGGGACACGCGCAGATGGAACTTCCGTATGTATATCTGAATATCGATCACGTATCGACATA